CTGGGATTAGGTCATAGGGATGGTTGCACAACTTTATGAATGTACTAGAAACCGTTGAATTGTATACTTTAAAATTTTATAATATATGAATATCTCAACTTAAAAAAATAAATGGTAGGAGGCCTGCCCAGCTCTTAAACTCTTATTATTTCTGTAAAAATGACATACATACCCAGTTAAAAATATTCCACAAACACATGGGGCACCTGGGTGGCTCAGTTGGTTGACTTCGGCTTGGGTCGCAACGGTTTGTGAGTCTGAGCCCCACAGTGGGCTCTGCTCTGACAGCAAGGAGCCTGCCTCAGATCCTCTGTCTCCCTCTCTCTCTCCCCCTCCCTTGCCTCTCAAAAATAAACAAACATTAAAAAAACATTTACAACACACACACACACAAAGTTCGAAGAAGAGAGTAAAAACATCACCTGGTGACCACTGTTAGCATTCTGGCTCAGAGTGCAGTTCTGGTCAGAGGGTTGAGGATTGAACTTGGACAAATTATTGAACTTGTTTCCCAAGTGGGGATAACACCCCACACCTGTTCAACGCAGAGATATGGATGATAGCACAAAGAGTTCTGGCTGATGTGATCATCACGTGTCTGTGTGTCTGTGTCTGATTTGCACACACCGTGGGATTAGGCTTCGCATGCTGTTCTATTACCTAACTTTTTACGGATAGCCTTTTTTACCCCCCTAAGACTTTATGTTTTTATTTTTTTATTTATTATTAAAAAAAATTTTTTTTTTAAGTTTACGTATTTATTTTGAGAGAGAGAGAGAGGGAGGGAGCGAGCGGGGGAAGAGCAGAGAGAGAGGGAGAGAGAAAATCCCAAGCAGGCTCAGCACCGTCAGTGAAGAGCCCGATGCGGGGCTTGAACTCATGAACCGCCGAGTCCATGACCTGAGCCGAAACCAAGAGTTGAGCGCTCAACCGACTGAGCCACCCAGGTGCCCCTAAGACTTTATGTTTTTAGAGTAGTGTTAGGGGCACAGCAAAGTAGAGGGGAGGGTGCAGAGATTTCCCCCGTGCCCCCTGCTCCTACACAAATATAGCTTCTCCCATTGGCAACACCACTTTTCCAGAGCGATACATTTCTTAGAGTTGATAAACCTGCATTGACATAATCACCCAGAGGCCATAGGGTTAACTCTTGGTTCTGTACATTCTATGGGTGGGGACTAGCCATGGACAGAATTTTCATGTGAAAAATCATCACTCTAAAAACAAATGGCTCCAGAATATTCCATCGTATGGGTGTATAATAGTGTCGTCTGCCATTTATGGAGGTTTCCATTGATTGATGGCATCTCCCATTTATTGAGGCCATTTGCGCAACCATCCTGCTATGTTAGCACATATAATTCAGCCTACACTTTTTTTTTTTTAATTTTTTTTTCAACGTTTATTTATTTTTGGGGGGACAGAGAGAGACAGAGCATGAACGGGGGAGGGGCAGAGAGAGAGGGAGACACAGAATCGGAAACAGGCTCCAGACTCTGAGCCATCATCCCAGAGCCTGACGCGGGGCTCGAACTCCCGGACCGCGAGATCGTGACCTGGCTGAAGTCGGACGCTTAACCGACTGCGCCACCCAGGCGCCCCCAGCCTACACTTTTTGACCACCTTTAGGCTATGTAGCTGGGAAGGCAGGTCTATGACCTAAGCCCCTGGTTTCGGCACGCTGCAAATTAAGTTGTGCCTAGCAGGGTCTAGCTGTCCTTGGGGCTATGGGAGAATTGGCACTAGAATAGCCAAGGGAGGGTTGGCGTGTCCGAGAATGTTGGGGAGGGGAGGCTGCTGGGGAGGAAAGGTGGAATGGGCTGGGGAGCTGCCAGCCTCCAGTCCCCAAGTGGGAGTGTCAGAGGCTAGGGGAGGGGAACAGATTCCAGGAGAGGCCTCAGGCGGTTTGGATTGTAAAAGAGCTTCCTCTTCCCAGGCCCAGCTTTGGCAGCCCCTCCTAGGCCTGGCTCTGCCCTCGGGCCCCAAACCTTCTACTGGGAGCTCTGGAGAAGCAATTTGCTTTTATTGAGGGGTGTACCTAGTTGGGCAAGGCCAAGGTTAGGCTTCCTTTGGGGAAGCCAGTTGATGATCTGGGGGGTCTGAGAGAGCAGAGATTCAACTCCTTGGCCAGCCCACTGTCCGTCAGGCTTATGCTGGGGTTGCTGGACTTTCTGCCCTGGGAAGGAGATTCTGGCCTAAGCTTTTCTTTGGTGGTGAAGGCCCCTGGCCCCGGCTGTTTTTCAAGGCTCCTCCTTGAGCTGCCCTGCGTGGTCCAATGTGACCCAACCCTTCCCAACAAGCTGTGTATCCTCTCTAGGGCCTGTGCCCTACTTGGAGGCAGAGTTCTCTGGTTTTTGTCCGACCTCCTTGCTGACTGCTGGCCCCAAGAGTAGGCTGGCACAGAGGGGGCTGGGTTGAAGGGGGCAGGTGAAATGTACCTCTTCCATAGCTTGCCTCACTGTCTGCCACATTCACAGGCCCTGCTCAGCTTCTGGTATCCTCTCCTGGCCTCTGGCTGGGTTCCTGGGCCCTCTTGGGTGCTGGCCTTGGGAGACATTCTCCTTCTGGCCCAGTTGGCAGATTCAGCCTGATGAACACACAGGGGCCAACTCTGGACAACCTTTCTGAGGGCCTGGAACAGTGAAGGTGGCGCTGCATGCTGGGGACTTGTCTTGGTCACAGCCCTGCTGAGGACTCAGTTTCTTCATCTGTAAAATGGGTGGGATGTATAATCCTTGATGCACTGGGAACCATTCAGCCAATGAGAAATAAAGTTAAATCTCTAATGATTTCCTGTGCCAAAGCTACCGGCTCTGCCGGAGCTGGGTCCTGTCTCCCCCAGGGGAGAAATGAGGCAGCGGGGATTTGAATGCCAATGAGAACGGTGCCTGGAGGTCCATCCAACCTTAAACTGCCTTCGTAAGTAGAGGAAGATCCATGTCTTGGAAACTTACATGTGCAAGGACATTTCAGGGTGTCCCCTCCCATTACAGGCCCAGAGAGGGGAGGGGTTGTGCCCCAGGCCACACAAATGGTGCAGGAACGCGTATTGGCCTTCCAGTGCCTGTAGTGCTGAGAGGGTCCCGGATGGCCCGGAACGTGCTTCCCCATCGAGCCTTTTGACAGCTTGCTGTCTGTCCTTCAAAGTTGCCCTGAGTTCCAGTTTCTTACTTCTCTGCCTCCCCTCCCCCCGCTTCCCCAAAACACCCCTTCCCTGAAGCCCACAGCAGCTGTTGGCCTCTCCTGCTGCTTTCTGCGTGCAGCTTTTGTGTAAGCTTTTGTTTCTTTCCTTAGCGTTTCTCTTCGGCAGCCTGGCTTATTTCTGCCTCTCCTTGGAGCCTGGCTCAGGCCAGGAGCTTTGCTTGCCTGTCGCCCCTGAGCCAGCATCTCCCGGCAGGATGCTCTCAGAATCTCAGCTGCAGTCAGGACTGCTCCCCACAAAGCTCCCACCCGAGCGAGCCCAGAGGCCTGGACCAGGAGCGCCCCTCTCTGGGGCTAAGCTGCTCTGGAGACCAGGCCCCTCGCCACAGCCCCAGGCCAGCCCCTCGGCTCTCCATGGAGGCACCAGGTGACCCAGGCCCTTGGGAGGGTGAGCCTCAGGGACAGCCTCCCAGACTGGCTAGGAGAGCTCAGGTAAACTGCTCTCTTCTTCTTTTTCCTTTGTGCTCAGTGGTTCGGTGCCTAGTGACCCCTGCCTCGGAAGTCCTCTAGCATCCGCTTCAGTTCTGTGCCAAGCAGTGTGTCCCGAATCTCGGCTCCTCAGGGATTCAACCATAGTTGGTTCTCAGTCTGCCAGGAGCTGGTCAGGCTGCCCCAGTCCACGCGTGGGCGTCAGGGGCACACTCGGCCTGCAGATCTGGCTTCCGCCCTCTGCCGATGCTCTCACAGAGGACCTGTCCCAGGCAGGGAGCAGGACCTCGCACCCCACTCCCTCTGACCGGAGTCTGCATGATGAGTGCTTCTCCCTCACCCTCCCTCCCTCACCTACCAGCAGGTGTTCTTCCTGCCCCCCCTGGGGGGATGTTGCTCAGCCATCTTGGAGCGCCTCTGCTGTCCCAGGAATGCTGGGGGGCGGGGGTGACTTGCCTACCGCAGGCCCCTCTTCATGACCCCAATCATACCACACCCTGTTTGCACCTTGATTGTCATAACCTGCTAATTGATCTCCTTAGACCTGGGGTTCAAGGCGGAGACCCGTGAGCCGGGCAGAATCGTTGTCCGCTTGGTGCAGTGCTTAAAGAATTTTGCTTAGTTCTTTTAATGTGGTCTGTGCGTGCCAGTTCCCCACGGGCGTGCCGACCGCTTCTCGTTGCTGTGTGCCTGCCTAGCGTCGCTCATCGACATCATCCACCTCACCCTCTGAGTCTGCAAGTCCTGCCTTTACAAGGGCAGGGATGGTGTCCGTCTGTCTGTCTGTCTGTGATTACTGCGTCCACAGCACAGAGCGCGCTCAGCCAGGACTTGAACCCAGGCTGTTTCACCCCAGCAACTCAGTTAATGCATGTTGCTGAGTGGACAACTATACTGAGTGAAAAAAGTGCACAACAATTTAGTTAATGTGGGCAAAAAGTAATATTGAAGGTGCACAGAATATCTCTGGAAGAATTCAGATAAACTCGGTAATAGCAGATGCCTTGGAGGAGGGAGCTGGGTGGTTGGGGAATGGGATGGAATTAGGATACACCTTGTTCCTCTGGAATTTAATTCAAATGCCACAACATTGCAATTTCATTAATAGATAGTTGTATACTTTAGAAAGATAAAGTCACAGGGTGCCTGGCTGGCTCATTTGGTAGAGTACGCGACTCTTGATCTTGGGGTCGTGAGTTTGAGCCCCATGTCAGGTGTAGAGTTTATAAAAAAAAAAAAAAAGGAAATAAAAAGATCAAATCTTGGCATTTGAGGCCTTTCTTGCTGTGGACCACCCCTGCCCTCCCAGCTCTTGAGGCCCCTGACCCTAATGTGGTGTCTCCTCCTGTCCCAGGAGCACCCGGTCTGAGATGGGGTCCCAGGTCTCCGTGGACGTGGGAGCTGTGAACGTGGTGGTCGTGGGTGGGGGCTTCGGTGGGATCGCCGCCGCCAGCCAGCTGCAGGCTCTGAACATCCCCTTCGTGCTGGTGGACATGAAGGACTCCTTCCACCACAACGTGGCAGCCCTCCGGGCCTCCGTGGAAAGCGGTAACAGCCTCTTTTCTGGGGCTTTCTTTGTGCGAAGGGTCTTGTTAACCACTCTGGGTCTGGAGGGGTTTTCTCCGCTTAGGGCAAGCCCTGAATTCTGCCTTTAGACAAATTCCAGAGATTCTTAAGAAGGTCACTGGCCTTAAGCAGCGGCCGTAGCAAGGCTGCAGAAGTAAGAGCTGGAAACTTCCCTGAGGACCTGGTGAGGCCCAGGCTGGTGCTTTTAGGGGGTGGTGGTATCCCGGGAATACCACTGACTCGGCTGTTTGGCCAAGGATACCCCTCAGGAAAGGTTCTGAGTTTTTGTGGCCTCCGATGGGCAGCTCACTTTTCCTCTGTGACCTCCTCTGTGTCCATTCCCCAGGGTTTGCCAAAAAGACATTCATTTCCTACTCGGAGACCTTTAAGGAAAACTTCCGGCAGGGGCTGGTAGTGGAGGTGGACCTGCAGAATCAGACGGTGCTGCTCGAGGATGGCGAGGTGAGCATCCTGGGGGCTGACCCGACCCTCAGCTGGCTTCGGGAGGCCCCCCCCCCCCCGACCCCAGGGGCTGCAGCTGCGGCTGCTGGTGGGGAAGAACGCGGCCGGTGTCAAGGGCTGAGAGAGTCATCTGTGGCCCCTACGCGGTGCCGGGTGGACAGCAGATGCCTCATAAGCAACGACCCGACCACAGCAGCCACAAGAGTGTGGTGGCACTTCTCCTCAGCCTTTCCTGTACGCCAGGCACCGTCTTCAGCCTTCCTGAGTCGCACTTCGTGCCCACCATGACTGTGAAGGAGGTGGTATAGCCTCACTTTACAGGAAGGTTGGTTAAGCGGCTTGCCCAAGATCCCACCCCTTGTAAGAGACTCAGCCAGGGCTTGAACCCAGGCTGTTTCACCCCAGGGTCTACGCTCTGAAAGCTGGGGTCCCAGACCAGGCCCGGGCCCGGCCAGCCTGTGGGGGCGCTCCAGGCTGTGTAGACTCGGTCATGTAGGTGCACACGTGATCCCACATCCCCTGGATTGGGAGGTGACTGGGGCAGAGGTCTTCGCTCGTGTCTGCAACCCCCAGCCCCGGGTGGAGCCCAGGGCCTGGTACCTGCAGTGACCAGAGGTCCCTCAGTGAGCTGCCGTGTGTCGTATTAAGGGTCACCTCCAGTCTGGCCCTCTGCTCTATTCAAAGCTCAGGGGGGACTGGAGAGAGGGGACTCCATCTCTGTCCTCAGTGATTTAGCGTGACTCGGGCTTTCTTGAATTAATTTTCGGGCTGGGGAATCTCTTGGTTGGAAAGATGACCGAGTCTCCTTGTCCTGTGGTTTGGGCCACGGGGAAGGGGCTGAGTGGGACACGGCCCCTCCGTTCTCCCTTCCCCCAGAGCAGCTCTGGTTTTGTCAGCTTTATGTATTTAGGCTCCAAACAATTTCCCTCATTCCCTCCCTCCCTCCCCCCTTTTTTTTGGCTTGTAAAATCCCTAGGAAATTCTAAACTGACTCCACATGGGAAGTTTGAGTCCTGCTTATCTCCACGAGTAGTTTCCTGTCCCTGCTCACCTGCCCACTGCGTGGGGGTGCATCCCTCCTGCTTCCGTGGGGGGAGGAGGCTCTGGCAGGAGGTACAGGCCGCGTCCTTAGGTATATCCCGGGGTTCTGGTGCTACCCCGTGGCTGGGCAGTGTCGTGCTTTTGCTCCTTTCAGAGGAGGGCGGCCTCAGTGTGCCCAGAGGGGCCTCCCCGACCTTGTGCCTCTTGCCCAGCGGCCTGATGGCATTCAGTAGTAGCCCGAGGCTGCCCTCACTTCCTTTCCCTTGCTCCCTACAGGCCCTGCACTTCTCACATCTTATCCTGGCCACTGGCAGCACCGCGCTCTTTCCGGGCAAGTTTAACCGGGTGGCCAGCCGGGAGGTTGCTATCCAGGCCTACGAGGACATGGTGAAGCAGGTGAGCCGCCCGTTGGCCAGGGCGGTCTCTCGAGGGCCAGGTGGACCCCTGGGAGGGTGGGACCACTATGGTGAGCCCCGGGCGCAGCCATGAAGGTGGGGCATTACTAGGGAGAGACTCCCTGGGGGGAGGCCTTTGTTCCTGTCATCGAAGTCTGGACATGAGCACCCCAGACCTCATGCAGTGACTGGTGTGGGTCCCCGACTTGTCTCTGTTGGGGTCCCGTTTGCACAAGGCTTTGTGTTTCACAGAGCGGGCTCGGATCCATGATCGCAGGCAGCTTTCACTGAGAGGTGGGCGGGCGGGGTCCGGCACCACTGGGGTGAGGAGTGGAGACCCAGAGAAGGATCCCGAGGCGGCTGCTACCGCGTGACTGCGGCCAGGCCCTGCCCTCTCTGCCCAGCCGCTGAGGAGCCTGGGGAACCTCTCTCGTGTCGTCAGAGACAGACATGAGTGTCGGTCGGGATCCCGGCTGTGAACTCAGGCAGACCTGGGCCGCGGTCACCTGCCCCGTGGGGCTGATGCAAGAATCGAGGGAGCAGACGCAGGGAGATGGCCGGCCCCGTGGAAGCACATTTGAATCCCAGACTCCGAAAGGCTTCTGTTCTCCTCTCGGGGCCCAGGGGCCCACGCCCTGGCCGAGCCACGGGGTGGACTGGGTCTGAGGGCGCGTGTTACACTTCCTTCCGCTGCAGGTCCGGCGCTCACGGTCCGTGGTGGTGGTGGGAGGCGGCTCTGCCGGAGTGGAGATGGCGGCAGAGATTAAAACCGAATTCCCCGAGAAAGAGGTGGGCGTGCGGCCTTGTCTTTGCACTCCGGGCCCAGCTTCTCTGCACATCGGCCTGGGTGGCGGTGCTCTGTGAACTTGGAGCGCGAATGCGTGTTTCCGCGCCCTGCTCTCTGCCGTGGGGCGTCCCCTTGAGTTCCTCTCTTGGAGAACCAGGGCCGGTGAGGGGTCTCGCCCTCCGGTCCAGCCAGGAGGCGTGAGGTGAACTCCCGTGTCCCCTGCCGTGTTCCAGCCTCTTGAGATACAATCGTAGACCTTGGTTCCCTCTTTTTGCCGGCCCGCAAAGACCCCTGCGGTGGGTGTTCCGGGTGAGGCAGGCAGCGGCTGTTTGGTCTTCAGGAGACCGCGGGCCTGGCCCTGGGTGGCTCCGAGAAAGGAGCCTCACTGGCCGCGCTGGGGAAGGAGCGTCCCCAGCGGGGACGGTGGCCTTGTTCCCTTTTACTGATGGAGGCGTGGAGAAGCTGCCTGGTCCCCTGGAGAGAAACAGGACACCCTGGCGGGATGTAGAGGCTCGGCCGAGGGCTGAGTGGTGGTGGGTAATTATGGGACCTCGATGTAAGGGCTTGCTTGCAGCTGATGCCGGACCAGCTTTCGAGAGCCACATGGGCCCTGTGGCTGTTCTTCTTCCCTAAGGAAGGGCGGGTTGGCTTTGCAAAGTAAGATCAATATGGACGAATTGAATTACATGGCTGTTCTGCGGCAAATTATTGGTAATTATTATGAGCGATTGACGTAAAAGTTTGTTAATTTTGATTTATGGGGTAAAGACCAGTCTGAGGTAGTTAAGTCAGTCAGTATGGCTTCCGTATGTTTATAACTGGTGGACAAATCCAGGTAATACTGGCCACCCTTTATTTGGCACTCAGTATGTGCTTCATACCTGTTTTCCTGGTTCATCATTACAAATGTGCTAGGAACGGGACTGGATCCCTTTTTGACGGACTCTTTGGGAAGTGTAGATTGGGTATCTGAGATGAGGCTTCAACTCAGGCAGTCTGACTTTAAAGCCCAAGCTTCCGGGGTGCCTGGGTGGCTCAGTCAGTTAAGCGTCTGACTTCGGCTCAGGTCATGATCTCCCGGTTCGTGAGTTCGAGCCCCGCACCGGGATCTGTGCTGACGGGTCAGAGCCTGGAGGCTGCTTCGGATTCTGTGTCTCCCTCTTTGCCCCTCCCCCTCTGCTCCATCTCTGTCTCTCTCAAAATTAAATAAATGTTAAAAAAAATTTTTTTAAAGCCCAAACTTTGAACATCATTCGGGGCTGCCCCCCCACTTCCCTGTGCTCACCCAGACAGCAAGTAGACGTGCCTGCGAGTGCCAGTTTTAGAACTAACTTTAATGTCAATGCCAGCCCGAGTTATAGTTAGAATGTCAATGGCTTATATATAGACTATAATTATAGGTGCCCGAGGTTGCCTGAAAATCGTTTTCCACGTGGCCCTGGGAGCGGGGTGGGGTATGGAGCACTGGTACATTCTGAAAGAGTCTTAGGCCAGGCGATGTGGGCTCCAGCCCAGCTCGCTGTGATCTGGTTCCGGCATTGGGCGGATTACTTCTCCAGGGCCTCAGTTTCCTCACTTGTAAACTGGCGGTTGGCGAGGAGGTAGAAGAGATAGACTGATGGCATTTTTAAGCCTCTTCGTGTGAACAGGAGACTCAGTGGCTCCTTCTCTGCTCTGTGGTCATTTGTCCCAGGTCACTCTCATCCACTCCCACGTGGCCCTTGCCGACAAGGAGCTCCTGCCCTGTGTCCGGCAGGAAGCGAAGGAGATCCTGCTCCAGAAAGGCGTGCGGCTGCTGCTGAGTATGTGTGCAAGTCCCCCCGCCGCCCTGCCCCTCTGCCTGGCCCCGTGAGATGTGCCCAGAGGCTTGGTCCCTGCCCCAGCTGGAGGGCCCTCGGTGTCCTGGGGTTGAACCTTGTTGTCCAGCTGGAGGCTCTGTGTGTCTTCAGACAGGCCAGAGGCCCCGGGACTTACAGGATTCCCCTGCCACGGAGGCAGCGCTGTCCTGACTATTGTTTTGGACACAGTGCAGGTGGTACCGGTTTGCTGAACGATTTAAGAAATCACCTAAAGGATCTGACCTGAATTATGATGACTCTGTGGTAGCGAATGGTGGGGGTTTTTTTGGTTTGTATTCAGAAAGTGGTGAGGAGTGTAGCCTTTGATGAGAACAGGAGGGGAGGGCACCACCCAGCTCCTTCAGAGAGCCGGGCCCTAACCCCTGCGCTGTGACCACTCCATTTCCGGGGCTCAGCGTCTGCGCTTTTCACAGGGAGGCGTGACGTTCCTGCCCTATGCAGACCCCTCCCGGCTCCTGGTCCCTTTGTAACTGGCTGTGCAGCACTGTGACCACCTTTGCTTTGAGGCAGTGTGGAAAGTAGGCTGGCTTCTGGACTTTTCTTGCTTTCACCTCAGTGGTGCGCCTGAAGAGCCTTCCTGCCTGGTTAGGATGGTGTGGCTGACTCTCTGGGAGGTGTGGCGGAGGTCTTCCTCAAATAGCTTTTCCCAGAACGTCTTGGGAAACTCAGTTTCACTTTTGCACACTGCTTCGGGGAACTTTCCTCCCTTTGGATCCTCTGGGGTGGCCGGAAGTCCACACTGCGCTTCTTGGGGCAGCAGGGTGGACTGGCAGAGGGGCAGGGGGGACGCCAGGAGCAGAGCAATCGCCTAGTTGGGCCCCAGCGGCCCAGGGCTTCTCCGGTCACCCTTGGCTTGGGCCCCAGCCCCCTGCCGGCCTCCTGCTCACAGATCTCCCTTGACAGGTGAACGGGTGAGCAACCTGGAGGAGCTGCCCCTCAACGAGTATCGAGAGTGCATCCAGGTGCACACGGACAAAGGCACAGAGGTGGCCACTAACCTGGTGATTGTCTGCAATGGTATTAGGATCAACAGCGCCGCCTACCGCAGTGCGTTCGGTAAGCAGGGGCTGGTGCCCACTCCCCGGGCCGCCTCACCCTTCAGCCGCTGCAGGCCGAGCAGGCCTCTCCACCAGGAATCAGGTCGCCATCCCTTCCCCCTCCATCCCAACCGCTCAGGTCTCTTCTGAATGGTGACATCAAACTTTAAGTTCAAGTCTGGATCCGCTCTTGTTGTGCCTTCTTTAGCTGTGGCCACGACTTAGCCCGGGGTGGCCCAAGTGACGGGTCTTTCAAAATTGGAGCCCGCCCCCTTGTGGTGAGAGATGGGAGCAGGTTTCAGAGCCAAGGAAAGATCCATTGTTTCACTTTCTTGGCACCTGAAGGGGAGGAAATTCCTGGGTCAGGCCTTTTACTATTCACAGGTATGCCGTTCTCCCCAGGCCCCGATCCAAACATTTGGCCATTCAGCTTGGAATGACCGTTTGGGGAGTAGAGGCAATAATTCGGCTTGAACTCTCCAGCTCACTGAAAGGTGAGAAGAGGCGGAATCTCGGCCTCCGTGCGTGAGCCAGAGACCGTGACTCTTCCTCGGCCCCATGATTGCTGTGTCCCCAGGTCCCTATCATTTACTCCGTAGCACCCTTCCTGGACAAGGAGCTCCTGTTTGGGTCCTACAGGAAAGAATTGGCCAATCACAGAAGAAGGAAGCTAGTCCCGGCCATGAGTAGGGGTAGGATTGAGTGCTTATAATGCACAGAGATCCCAGAATTTTACACCCATTGGTCTTAATGTTATATTTTCTTTTCTTTTTTTTTTTTTTTAATGTTTTATTTTTGAGAGGGGCAGGGGCGGACACACGGGAGGGACAGAGAGAGAGAGGGAGACAGAGGATCCGAAGCAGGCTCTGCACCGTTAGCACAGAGCCTGACGCAAGGCTCGGACTCACGAGCCGCGAGATCATGACTCGAGCCGAAGTCGGACGCTCAATGACTGAGCCACCCAGGCGCCACTTAATGTTACATTTTCAAAGATAATTCTTTTAAGCCCCTTAAAAAGAAAAGTTTAGCATTTTCTAGAGCCCTACATTTACTTTCAGAATCTGATCCGTGTTCAGAAGGAAATTCAAGACTTGGTTAAGTTGCAGCTTGATCGGTGTAAGGCAATCAGTGCTAAGCACGGTAACTTAGAGCGTCAGATGCATGATATAAGGTGGCACTTTCTGTCTTTCTGACCAGCTTCCAACCCGGAATAGTTACCTGGCCTCTGCAGGAAGAGTTCTGAGATGGGGACTTTAGGCAGACATGAATTGGGTGGTCTGCTCGCCTCCTGAGGCCGTGCCCCTGGAGGGCGGCCTAGCCGGCACCAGAGGCCATCTTCACTGTGCCCTCGTGGCCACTTGACACGGCAGCTCGGGAGCCTGGTTTCAGGGTTGGCTCTTCCTGGCAGAAAGTCATCTGGCCAGCGATGGCGCTCTGCGAGTGAACGAGTATCTCCAGGTGGAGGGCTGCAGCCACATCTATGCCATCGGCGACTGCGCAGACGTGAGGGAGCCCAAGATGGCCTACCACGCCGGCCTCCACGCCAACGTTGCCGTGGCCAACATCGTCAACGCCAGGAAACAGAGGCCCCTCAAGGCCTACAAGCCAGGTGAGGAAGCCCCAGGTACTTCTCGGTTTGCGGAGAGCTGGGTTAGACGCGGTGAAGCCTTTGCGAGCTTTCGGACGAAGTGGGCCTAGAACACCCTCTCAAGGCTGGCGATGGAAGCGTCCCTCTGGAGCTCGTCAAAAATAAGTCGGGACTCACCCGTCTTCCTAAAAGTCATGGGCGTTTCCCTGTCCTCAGACCGAAGGCCCCGGGGAGGACTGTGCTCTGGGGATGGCAGGCCCACGAGTGGTGAGCGGGAGTCGAGCGTGTGCGCACGTGTCTGCTCCACAGGCGCGCTGACGTTCCTCCTGGCCATGGGGAGAAATGACGGCGTGGGCCAGATCAGCGGCTTCTACGTGGGGCGGCTCATGGTTCGGCTGGCCAAGAGCCGGGACCTGTTCGTCTCCTTGAGCTGGAAGACCATGCGGCAGTCTCCGCCCTGAGCGGGAGCTGGGCCGCCGCCAGGTGAACGGATTGCTTGACCAGAGGTACCCACCTGACAAAGGCCAAAGAGCAAAGGCTCATTTCCTAGAGTAAGGTGCCAGTGATGGACTGACCAGAAACCCACCTTACAGAAAAACCAAAACCGGGAGAGAAAGAGAGAGCCGGAGAGGGAGAGAGAGAGGCATTAGAAAAGACACCCCCTAGAGGATGCTTTCTGGGGTTGGAGAGGTCGGCTTGCAGTTGTGCTGGCTGAGGGGTTCGCCTGGTCCCGGGGAGGGCATAGCCAGCCTTCTCTACCCCGGGCTCTTCGTGTGTGTGTGTGTGTGTGTGTGTGTGAATGCACGTGTTGGCATTCAGGACTCTCAGAGCAAGAGAGAGCAGGCTCTCCTGGTGGCTGAAATCCTGTCTTATTAGGGCAGGCAGGGGAACCTGCATGGTGGGACCGTCTAAGGAGTGGGATTTGGGGTCGAGATGGTCTGCACCCCGAGCCTCTCCCATCAGATCATGGGTGGGGAAGCCTGTGCATTCTTCGACACCCAGGTTGTTAATAGGAGCCTAATTTTAAACTGTTAGTCCCTGTAATCTTTAATCTTCACAAAACTTTATATATTTCCATTTCTAGGTCCCGATGATATACCATAGGTTACATTTAAGAAGAAAGAGTTAGATAAATTTCCCTCCCGGTTAGCCTATCCTAACAGAGAGTGAGTTTTTCCAAAGCTAACAGGTTAAGACGGAAGCTTGGCCCGCCAGCCGCTGGACATGTTAAGGAAAGGCAGCCGAGCTAATGGGACCCTTGGGTGGGTTGCCATTGGGCTGACGTTCAGGGAGCAGAGGGGGGCTCAACATGCTTCTAGGCTGCCGTCACGGTCAGTTGTGCAAGGGACAAAACTCCGGCTGATGCTGGGGGTGGGGGACCCTGTGGGAACCTCTGGGGTTTTGTGCTTCTGGTTTCCTGGCCAACCCCAGTGACATTTACGTGGAGGCCCAGCCGTGTGGCAATGCCTGCCACTGACCGTGTTAAGGCACATAAAGGACTCCTCTGTCTGGGAGAAGACTTCCAGTTGGGGGGAGGGAGTTTATTTTGGAAGACGTGGGTTAAATCTCCATAATGGAAGTGGTTGGTGATCTCACTGGAATAAATTCAGGCCTGGCTCACTCTTGATGGTGGCCTCTGGGTACTTGGCCAGATTTCTTGGGACACCAGCCTCACCAGGGTTCTGAGGGCTCCCTGTCTGGGCTGTGGCCTGGGTCGGTTCCATTTGTTACCCAGGCCTACCTAAGTGACACGCGTGCCTCTCTCCCAAAGGATGACTACCCCACCGGAGGCTTCACCCAGGGCTCCCTTCCTGTGGGCCACGGCCAACCAGGCTCCCCTTCTGGAAGCAGGACCTGCTGCCTGAGAGACACAGGCTATTCTGTGCTGTCTGACCCGGGGACTAGCAGGGTGGGAGTCTTGGCTCATTAGTGACAGGCCTTGTTCTATTTATAACATTTTACAAGTGTCCCCCCATGGGGACATGGTTTTTCCAAACTGAGGAAAATATTGCAATAAAAGAATATGTTGTAAGAAAGACACTGGATCTTCTGTATTTTTTTTTCCTTTCATTTTCTTTTTCTTTAAAAAAAAAAAAAAAAAACAAAACCAAAACAAAAGCCTGAAGCAAAATCTTTTTAGGAGTAGATACAGATATTATTGGGTGGGGTGGGGGCACTAAAACAGAAAAGAAAAGCACCAGTGGGACGCCTCTCTCATTTTCTTCTCTCCATCACTGAACACAGACAGCCAACAAAGCCCAAGTCACTTTTATGCCCTCTTCCCTTGCAAAAAGGAGAAACAAGGTTTTAAGAATTTTGAAAGGATTTTTTTTGTGTGTGTGTAAAAGTCAATGCTATAAATCTAAAACGAAGTCTGTTTTTTAAAAAAGTTCTAAAACAACAGGAAGAAAACACATGGAAAGAAACCCCTCGTGGAGACCTGGTTAATTACAGACTGAGGCTCTTTGAAACGAGAATATAAAAGGCAGAGGGCTCCTTCCGTGGGCGGGACCTGCTCCTGCGGCCTCTGCTCCCCGCTTCCCTGCCAGCTGCCCTCCGCTCCCCTGCCGTCACACTTCCTCTCTCCTTTTACAAAATAAAACCCCACTCCTGTGACTTCGATCCTCCGGCCGGGCACGGGCACGGGGCGGCTACTTGGCATCGAGCTTGGCCATCTCCTGCACGTAGATGCCAATGCTCTCGCTGTCAAAGAGCAGGAAGTAGACATTCTTCAGCGAGGATGCGCTCGAGTCGTCAAAGTGGGCCGAGATGGCTTTGAGGGTCACCTGGGCTGCCGTCTGTTTGGGGAAGCAGTTTCTGTGCCAAAGGAAGAGAAGAGCTGACGTTACTTTGGTTCCCGGGACCCGCGGGTAACTCCGCTCTCAGCCTGGGGTTGGGGGGAAGCGGCCTCTTCTTATCTTTGCTTCCGTCTCCCGGGGTCTCACTGGGTGTAGGCTGGGCCACTATGGTCTTTGGTTGTCCTCATGGGGACAGCCCGGGAGTGGGACAGGCAGGAGACGCTGTCCCCACTTTACAAGAGCCACGCTGGCTCAGTCGAAGTCACAGGGCTGGCCGGTGGGCAGTGCCTCCTGCTTGGATGAATCTGTGGTGCCTGCCTCGAGTCGAGCGGGGCTTTAAAACCACAACCAACTCAGCATTTAAGCATAGCTAGGCTTTGTTAGCTCCCTCAACACTGCTTTACAATGTGGGGGTGCCTGGGTGGCTCAGTCAGTTAAGCATTCGACTTCAGCTCAGGTCATGATCTCACAGTTCGTGGGTTCAAGCCCCGCGTTGGGCTCCGTGCTGACAGCTTAGAGCCTGTTTCTGCTTCTGTGTCTCCCTCTCTCTCTCTGCCCGTCTCCCGCTTGCCTCTGTCTCTTTTTCAAAAATAAACATTAAAAAAAACAAACAAACTGCTTTACAACATCAGATCGTTAAAGGGCAGAAATGTGCACTCAAAAGCGTGTCTTCATAATTCCTTTTTTGTGCACCTCGTGTGCCTTTCACTAGCCCGTATGGACATGCCGCTGTAAGTCGGGGACTGGTGACTCTGGGTAGGGCCCTATCACCAAGCTGAGACGGAGCTGCCCACCAGGCTGGGCCACGGCCCCAGCCTCCAGGGACACGGCCGTTGTGGCGGTTGAGGGTCAGCCACCAAGCCCCCTGGGGCGGGCGGGTGCAGGATGGGCCTGTCTGATAGGGATTCTTCTCACTGGGATGTCGTATCCTTGCGGCACGTGGTCCTGGCCACGTGGAGAATTCAGCCCGCCGTGCCTCTGGGCCAGGCTGTGGAGACCCAGCGCTGTTTGGGTTGAGACGGGATTACAGCGGGAAGCCAGGCCTCACGATTTCCTTCTCAGCCTGCCCGTAACTCGACTATAACAGACCATCTTCCGTGTGTAAATCCTGCCCGTGTTACAGACGGGCATCTCTCAAGAGAGAGGGTGTTGAAAACGGAAGCAACAGCTTGCATTGGCCACGAGTGTGACAGGAGAGGACAGGCAGGCTACCTGTGAGGACAGAGATCCTCATTATGTACCTGCTATGCTCCCAGCTGGGGTCTGTGCCGATTAGAACAATCACTTCTCCAAACTCCCAAAGCAGACCGCGGGTGACAGCCTGTCCCTTCTCTGGGTGTGTCTGCCAGGGCCTCGGCCTCTGGCCTCTGCTCCCCTCCACCCCGGCAGCGCACGAGTCCCCCGGGGATTCTGAGATGGTAGTTCTGGGCTGCGGCCTGAAACTCTGTACTCTCACGTTCCGACACAGCAGAGTTACTGGTCCACGGACCGCCCTTGGAGTAGCAAGGCCTTTGGGCCTGGTGTTTTCTTTCTTTTTTTTTTTTAATTAAAAAAAATTTATTTTTGAGAGAGAGAGAGAGCAGGGGAGGGGCAGAGAGAGGGAGACACAGAACGCAAAGCAGGCTCCAGGTTCTGAGCTGTCAGCACAGAGCCTGACGCGGGGCTTCAACTCGTGAGCTATGAGATCATGACCTGAGCTGAAGTCGGACGCTTAACCGCCTGAGCCCCCCGGGCGCCCCAAGCCTGGTGTTTTCTGACCACGTGTTCGGATGGGCAGCAGGCGGGGACGTGAGCGTTGAACATGGCAGGCTCTCGGAGAAGCACTGTCCCTTGCTCCTCTCTGAAG